GAGCGATGATGTCGTGATGATGTCATTTCTGTCGTGAAGGATTAAAGCAGCTCTAGGTGTACCTAATAAAGTGGCAGTAAGCCTCCAAACTACACTTTTGGTTCTACTGAAAAAACGACGTCTGTGTGATCTTCATATGGAGAGTAACTCCTCGTTTTCATGATGTGAAGTTTTATGCTTTATTTATTTTTAAATGATCAGCACTTGCCCCGTGTGTCCTGTCAGTGTTGATTCTGGGAGTTGAAGGTTCGCCCGATGAGTCTTTACTCGTGTTTTGAATCATTAGACTAAAAAAAGAGAGCACAGCTCAGCCCCGTGCTTCTGCTAACATTCAGTTGCAGGTTTTGGTTATTTGAAACAGGGAAGCTTCCTGCTGAGCTCTAGTTTCATATATGTGACAAAAAAAAGGATTTTCTTCTTCTGCTGTCAAAACTAAAGAATCAACGCCATTCTCCTGAAAACCCTCAGCTCTGTGCAACGCCGTGACGGACTTCTTTAAGCATGAGTGAAAGCCACGCCCATGTGATGGGTGGGGCTTATAGCAGAGAGCTCATACAAGCTTAAAAATGCTCAATTACTGACCAATCAGAGTGGACATAAGGTGGGAAATGTTTTTGTCAAACTTGAGGGAATTTTTAATTTTTACTTTATTTTACATGAAGAAAATATTTGAATGTAAAGTCCCGAGTTTCATGATGTATAAATATTTAAATAAACTGAATGAGACAATAATAATAAAACAATAAAACAATAAACCAGTGAGACTTTTTCCTTTAAACATTTTATTCGTTCACTCTACAGCGTAGAAAAATAAGCATCAAAAATATACCAACAAAATCAGAATCCACTGTGGCAAAGCAAACGTGATGCAAAAATAACTTCATCTGAAACATCAACCTTTAGCTCCCAGCTCACCTGGAGCACCAGGTGGGCGGAGCCAGTGCCGGTCTGGGCAGAAAGTCTAACGAGCCAATCGGAGCAAGAAAATTAAGGGAGGCTCCTCCCCCAAATAAATGGGAGGGATGTCGAAAGAAATCGGCAACGAGCGAGAGAAACGTCTATCGTAACACTTGTGAAGTGCGCTAAAAGCGGTCGAGCTACCGCGCTAACAAACGTCACCACGGCAGCACACGAACACCTGCGACAGGTGAAGACATGCTAAATATTAGCTGCTCAAACAAAGCTGCGGTTATTCTTCTACGATAATCTAGAGAAGAGAAACGAGCCGGGCTGCGACAGGTGAGCACGCTCAGGTTAGTTCGTCTACACACAACTACAAGAATCACCAGGAGGAGGGGCTTCCACGCGTCAGCGCCACGACCCGCGAACTGATGCTCCAATCAAAGCTGATCAACTGGACCAACAGAAGAAAGTCCTACACCCGTGAGCCAGCATCCACCCGTCACTGTGAACAAGCTGAAGCCCTCGTCGTTTTCATACAGGTGGACCACAGCGCCGGCTTTGGCGGCCCGTTTCTGGCCCGCGGACCGTATATTTGACAGTTTTCAGTTAAAACCTCCAAACAGACTAAAAAAAAAAGGTTAATGCAAACTGCGCCGGCTCGTTGGGGACGCTCCTCTGAAGACGGTCAGGAGCAGAGAAGTTATAACGCTGGCGTCCACCGGGGGGCGCTCACGTGATAGCAGGGGAACCCACGCCAGGCATCGCAACCGTTTGTTAGCGTTTAAGTTACAAGCAGCGCGTCTGAATTTGAGCTTTACAGAAGTTATCAAACATTTCTCTAAGATCAGGACCTCGAGCGTGCTTCAGCTCTCAAACCAAGCCGCTCGTTCCTTCTGTCCAATCAGAGTTCAGGGCCGAGCAGACAGCAGGTCGCTGCTCGGAGCTCCGTGATGTCAGAGACGTGTTGGTGTGCGTGAGCTCGGCGAGGCGAGCGGAGCAGCAGGAGATCCGTGATGAAGAAGTGAGGATGAGAGGGCGACGCTGCAGAGCCAATCCAGGAGTTTTACTCCAAAGTGACATCATCACGCCGCACACACAGCGTTTAAGCGCCGTCACGATGTCGGCGAGTCACATTTGCAGTAAAACTCTCGCTGTGGTCCGATCAGCTGGCCGGCCGGAACCGAGCCACGTAGGCGCCGCACGAGGAGCAGCAGGAGCGCGCCGGCTCGGCAGGAAGCTGCTGGCAGAGCGAGCAGAGCTGGGGGGGCCGGCGGGGCCGAGGAGGCTGCGGGTGGCGAGCGAGGCGGGCGTCCCAGGAGAAGCTGGGCTGGACCGTCCTGGAGTTGGCATCGCGTCGCCAGTCGCCGTCTGGGGGGATGTCCAGACGGAGTGGGTGGGCGGGGCCATCTGACGCTCTGAGGTGGTGGGGGGCGTAGCCCAATGAGGGGTGCTCGTAGTGGCCGTTGGCGCTGGCGGCGGAACGACGAGGGCGGAGCATGGTGGCGTAGAGGCTCTGCTGTCCCAGAGGGGAGGCGGGGCCGGTGCCAGCTCTGGGCCTGGGGAGGGAGGAGGTGGAGGGAGGTGGGGCTCGGCGAGGAGCTCGAGGCAGCGTGCCGTAACTCAGCGGGACGCCGTGAGCTGAAAGAGTCGGACGCCGGTCAGGCACAACCAGAACGTGCTGCTGGACGCTCGCACCAGCTCCTGAGGAAGAGGAAGAGGACACGTCAGGCGGCGTTCACGCTTTCCGCCACAGCGCCGTGCAAAAGTCCTGAAGACGACCGGCAGAAAAGAGGCGGGGCTTACACCAAACAGCCCGCCTCCATCACGTTTCAGTAACTCTGCACACGTCTCACTTTTACCTACAAACGGTGACTCAAGACTTATGCACAGCACTGAAGGCGTGACGGGTTCAGCAGGTCACATGACTGCAAACGAATCCTGTCACTTTGATCAGGTTGAGATTCACCTGTGAGCAGGTTGCCATGGGAACGCTGGGAGCGTTTAATCAAGCTAAACTGAACTACAGAGAATCTGATTCAGCATTCGTTGAACTGCATTTCCCAGCATGCAGCTGCTCTGAAGATGGAGGCGGAGGGCCGGCACGTTACCTGAGTGTCCCCAGGAGGAGGGCCTGGAGCTGGGGGGCTGTGATGTCTGCGTGGGGGGGTGCTGTGCAGGAGGAGAGGGGCCGTGGAGTCGGGGCTGGTGGGAGTGGTCTGCAGTGAAGGAGGGAGAGGAGGGGGGGTGCAGGGTAGAGGAGCTGGAGCGACGCAGGAGGGAAGAGGAGGAGGAAGAATGTCTGAGGGGGGGTCTGGACACAGAGGGGTCCTTCAGGGGGGGGAGGAGTGAAGGTGGAGGCGTCAGTGAGAAAACAAAGGGAGGGGGGAGAAATGAAAACATGTTAATGTGATGAAGAAAAACACACATGAAACAAGAGCAAACAACAACAAACATGGGGGAGGGGCTTGTATCTTTGAGATGCAAGTCTGGGGGTGACGCCATGACCATGTCTGCGTGCACGCTGCTGAATGACTGCGTTCTCCCCTCACGTTGTAAGAGATTTCAAACCCTCGGGCTGAGGGAACGCGGTGAGGACGCCGAGCGCCGCTCAGCTGTCGGGCAGAGCAGTGAGCTCGGAGGTTAGAAGCTTAATGGGAGAACTAAACTGCCCATCAATGTTTAATGCGGCGGCCTGAGGCGATTCCTGAGGCCTGAATACGAGATGGCTGAACGCCAGCGGCGCAGAGAGCAGAGCGAAGCGTGCAGAAACACAGGAAGCTGCTGCTCAGAGACAGTTAAATATTCTCCATCCTCATGAGTGGTAACGTGTTTATGAGGTCACAGGCTGAACTGTGACAGCGTCACTCGACT